AAAAAGCTACTGATTTTTTTTTAAATCATATAACTATAGTTCACTCAGTACTTGCTTAAATTTTAGATAATAACTATAGTCCATTCAGTACTTGCTTAAATTTTAGAAAAGCTATATAAATTACTGGTATATAACTTGAAGATTGCTCTGGCTGGGCGCAGTGGCTCACATCTATAATCCTAACACTCTGAGAGGCCGAGGCAGGAGGATGGCTTAAGACCAGAAGACCAGGCTGGCCAACATAGTGAGACTTCATCTCTACAAAAAATTGAAAAATTAGCCAAGCGTGGGGGTGCACACCTATATTCTCAACTACTTGGGTGGCTGAGAAGGGAGAATTGCTTGAGCCCGGGTGTCAAGGCTGCAGTGAGCTGTGATCTCGTCACTGCACTCCAGCCTGGGCAACCGAGGGAGACCCTGTCTCAAAAAAATAAAAAGAAAGCGACAGAGACAGAGAGAAAGAGAGAGAGAAAAAAAGAAAGAAAGAAAGAAAGAAAGAAAGAAAGAAAGAAAGAAAGAAAGAAAGAAAGAAAGAAAGAAAGAAAGAGAGGATTGTTCTTCCTTAAGAAAGAGAGAGAAAGAGAAAAAGAAAGAAAAGATTGTTCTTCCTTAAGAAAGAGATAGAAAGAGAGAAAGAAAAGATTGTTCTTCCTTTAAGAAAGAAAGAAAAGAAGAAAGGAAAGGAGAAAAGAAAGAAAAGAAAAGATTGTTCTTCCTTTGGCTAATTAAGTAATGCCCTCACAGCACTAGATTGCATGGTGCACTTACTGGATAAACTCAATAGTGCCTCTAGTTGGGTTGATTGAGGATGTCTGAAAAGTGCTCACAGAGCCCAATGCCTGCTATTGCACAACAGATGAACATTTTCCTTTCTACACTGAGAATTTTCTTCTGTTTTTAGTGTGGTTTATTTTTGGCTCAGAAATAGTTGCTGTGATGAAAATATTCCTTTGTTAGAAAAGACAGTAGCTACAACATCGTTTTGAAAGAACCATGAGCATGAGCTATTTTTAAAAGCCATAAGAAGTGGTTTGTTTATTTGTCAGGGTTAATTCTTGATTATGTTAACACTGTTTTATGATAAGGTGACTTTTTTAGATTCAAGTCAAAGAAGTTCTCTATTTTTATCATTACAGATCACAGTCACGACCTAGTGAGTTCTGCATACTGACTCATGTACTGAAACCTTAAATAAGTTAGCAAGAAAAGCAATAGTTTTCTGAAGCCATGATATGGGTGATGCACAGTTCATACTCAGATTATAATAAAGCTCTTCATAATTGTGAATTATAGAACACTACTTTTTATAAAACCATATTTTTAGGGATATTTAGGAGTGATATAGAACTGGTAAATTAGTAAAATAAGTTTTACTGGATTTTTGTATATAATCATCTCTAGTACTCTGGAAATTGAGGATTCATTATGCTGTGATCAACTTCAAATACTTTTTAGTTCCAAATATATGAGTTAATAAAACTTGCTTTTACGAGTATGTGCCAAATTGGGCAACATCAATGGATTTTCTAAAACGAATGTAAGTGTCTTTCATTTAATGTTATTTGACTCTAATAAAATGCAGGATTTTGTATATATAAATGACAAAGTTATAGTACTTAAAATAGTATGGTACTAGCATAAAGATAGACATATAGACCAATGGAACAGAATAGAGAGCCCAGAAATAAACCCATCCATATGGGTCCAACTGATTCTCCAAAATAATACCAAGAATACACAATGGGTAAAAGATACTCTCTTAGATAAGTGGTACTGGGAAACTGGATATACGAATGCAAGATAATGCAACTTGACTCTTACATCACACACAAAAATCAATTAAAAATGAATTAAAGACTTCAATGAAAATGTAAAACATCTAGAATAAAACTCAGAGGAGAAGCTGTAAAGATGGTGGTTTGAGCAATGAGTTTATGGCTATGATACCAAAAGTACAGGCAACAAAAATAACCAAATCTGACTGCATCAAACCAAGTGAGACTTCTACAGAGCAAAGGCAACAATAAGCAAAGTAAAATATAACCTACAGAATGGGAGAGAGTATTTGCAAACTATGTATCTGATAAGGGGTTAATCTCCAAAATACATAGTGAACTCATACAACTCAATAGCAAAATATCTAATAACTTTTTTTTGAGACACGATCTCCCTCTGTCTCCCAGGCTACAGTGCAGTGGCACAATCTCGGCTCACTGCAACCTCCGCCTCCCGGGTTCAAGTGATTCTGCTGCATCAGCCTTCCGAGTAGCTGGGATTACAGGCCACCACAGCCCAGCTAATTTTTGTATTTTTAGTGGAGATGAGGTTTCACCATGTTGGCCAGGCTGGTCTCAAACTCCTGACCTCAGGTGATCCGCCTGCCTCGGCTTCCCAAAGTGCTGGGATTACAGGCATAAGCCACCGCGCCTGGCCTTAATAACTTGATTTAAAAATAGACTTAAGGGCTTGAAGAGACATTTTTTTCAGACACAAAAATGCCCGATAGATACGTGAAAAGATGCTCAACATCTCTAATCATCAGGGAAATGCAAATCAAAGCCACAATGAAATATCACTTGCACACCTGCTAGCCTGGCTATTGTCAAAAAAACAAAAGACAAGTGTTAGTAAATACATGGAAAAATCGGAACCTTTGCACACTGTTGGTGAGAATGCAAAATAGTGCAGTCCCTAGGGAAAACAGTATGTAAGTTCCTCAAAAAATTAGAAATAGAACTACCATATGATTTAACAATCTTCCTTCTGGTTATTTATCCAAAGGAATTGGGATTATGATCTCAAAGAGATAGGAACATGCCCATGTTCATTGCAGCACTATTCACAATAGCCAGGATGTGAAAACAACCTAAATGACTATCAACAGATGAGGGATTTTTTTCCTCCCCTCTCTACCAGGAAATGATGGATTTTTTTAATGTGGTATATACACACAGTAGGATACTATTCAGCATTAAAAAAGAAAGACATCAGCCTGGGCAACATAGGAAGACCCCATCTCTACAAAAAATAAAAATAAATTAGACAGACAGAGTGGCATGGGCCCACAGTCCCAGCTACTCAGGAGACTGAGGTGGGAGGGTCGCTTGAGCCCAGGAGGTTGAGGCTTCAGGGAGCCATGTTTGCACTGCTGCACTCCAACCTGCATGACAGAACAAGACTTTGTCTCAAAAAAAAAAAAGAAGAAGAAGGAGGAGGAGAAGAAAAAGAAGAAAGATATTCTTTCATTTGTGACAACATGGATGAACCTGGAGGACATTATTCTAAGTGAAATAAGCCAGTCACAGAAGGATAAATATGGCATGGTTTCACTTATATGAGTTATCTAAAATAGGCAAACTGGCCAGGTGCAGTGGTTCACGCCTGTAATCCCAACACTTTGGGAAGCCAAGGCAAGTGGATCACTTGAGCCCAGGAGCTCAAGACCAGCCTGGACAACATGGCAAAACCCAGTCTCTACAAAATATACAAAAACTAGCCAGGCATGGTGGTGTATGCTTATAATTCCAGCTACTCGGGAGGCTGAGACGGAAGAATCGCTTGAACCCAGGAGGTAGAGGTTGCAGTGAGCCGAGTTGGTGCCACTGCACTCCAACCTGGGCGACAGAGTGAAACTTCGTCTCAAAAAATAAAAAAATAAGATAACCAAACTCATTGAAGCAAAGAATACAATGGTGGCTGCCAGGGGCTGGAGAACAATGAGGAGTTGCTAATCAATGGGTATACATTTTCAGTATGCAAGATGAAGTTCAAGAGATCTGCTGTACAACATTGCACCAATAGATGACAGTATTACATTGTGCATTTTAAAATCTGTTAAGATTTTAAATAAAAAAACTTTTAAACATAAAGAAAGAAAAACGTGAGGCTGGTAAAAACCCAGAGACCAGAGGCCAGAAGACTAGATGGTCTCAGGTGGCTATGGTGGGAAAGAGGATGGCACAGGAAAGATGGAACCGACTGTAAGGGTCCCACTAGACAGTGAGCTCCACCTGGCAGGAGACAGAAAGCCAACTTACAGAGGAAAACAGTTGTCAGGGCCAGAATATAGGGAGACAAGTCATCAGAATGGGCTCCATGCTTTGCAAGACTCAGTGCAAAAAAATGTAGGACCCCTTATTGAAAAATTATTAAGAATTGAAGATGGCAATAGCAGAGCATGAAGCGAAGCACAGGGCCCTTCTGAAAGAGCGGCACGTGTGACTGCACAACTCCACATCTGTGAAGTGTGCAATACTGTAAGGTGGCCAACCTCATAAGTTTCCCAGGATGTGGGATTTCAGTGCTAAATCTGGGACAGAGCTAGGCAAACTAGAGCTCTTGGTCACCTTACCAGGACCAAGATTCAGAAGAAAGGAATGCCTGCATCCCAATACTGCTAGCTTGCCATGTGCCATCGCTGGGCCTTGCTCTACTCATCTACAAAGTGGGAGTGATGAGGCTATCATGTACCTCCTATTGCTGTAGAAATAATCAATCTGGAACTAAGAGTCTTTGAGATTTTTGTGATGTGTGTGTGTGTGTGTGTGTGTGTGTGTGTGTGTGTGTGTGCCTGCACGTGCAAGTCTGACTCTGTCACTCCGGCTGCTGGAGTACAGTGGTGTGACCAGGGCTCACTGCAGCCTCAACCTCCCAGGCTTAAGCAATCCTCCGGCCTCAGCCTCCAGAGTAGCTGGGACCATGGGTGTGTGCTACCACACCTGGCTAATTTTTTTTTCTTTTTTTTTTTGGAGAGATGGGTTCTCACTATATTGCCCTGACTGGTCTTGAACTCCTGGGCTTAAACAATCCTCCCAACTCAGCCTTCCAAAGTGCTGGGATTACAGGCATGAGCCACCAGGCCCAGTCACATGTTATTATTTTTGAAGGTTCTGAAAGGAGTACTGTGAGAACTTATCTAGCAGCTGTGGGCACACTGAATTAGAAGGAGAAAGATCAACAAAGAGGCTACTGTCATGGCAAGGACAGTGATCAGGTCTCACCTGGCTATGGGAGGGGCTGATGCCAAATCCTGAGGTTCCATGAAACAGGTAAACAGCACCCTGGTTGTCCTCCTCTCCTGGGGCCCCAATGGCCACATCCGTCAGCTTGTCTCCATTCACGTCCCCCAGCACTGTTAGGGCTGCCCCAAAGCGGCCCCAGGGTTGGCCCTGCTCCCCGTAGAGAACAGCATCACACTGCCACCGACCCCTCTGCTAAACACAAACAGTATCAGGCACAAACTCAGGCGACCCCACCACCCACACCAGGCCCCACCCAGCCCAGGTCCCATCGCCACTCACCGCCCTGGGCAAGGGGCACACAGACACCTGGCCCCCTCGGGTCTGCTCATAGTAATAGGGGGCCCCGATGAGGACAAGGTCAGTGCTGCCGTTGCTGTCCACATCCACGGAGCAGAGGGAGGCCCCGAAGTAGGCGCCGATCTGAAAGAGACAGGGCCATAATCACACACCTCTTCCCACCTAAAGCAGATGTGGGGGTTTTCTCTCTGTGAAGAAAAGTTATGTCTGCTGGAGAATCCCTCTGGAGATGTGATCTGCTATATGGTTCATGATAAATTATCATTTGAATGTGCTACCAGCTAAAGGAACCTATATAATAAGCCTGGCAGAGTGGTTTCTGCCTGTAATCCCAGCTACTCAGGAGGCTGAAGGGGGAGGATCCCTTGAGCCAAGGAGTTTAAGGTTGTAGTGAGCTTTGTCACCATTGCACTCCAGCCTGGGCAACAGAGCAAGACCCCAACCTCTAAGTGTGTGTATATATATATGTATACACACATATATATATATATGTTTTTAATAATTTAAAAGATAAAGAATAAAGAAGCCTATAGTAGAGTCAATGAGCAGTGCGTGAGGATTTACCCCAGATGGTATTCCTGGGAGATTATTAAGGCAGCAAAGAAGGATTTGGGTTGGAAAATACAGATAGAAAATTCTAGAAGAGCAGACAGAATACCACCCTTTCAATATATTAGGAATCTTAGGGGGGGTAAAAAGTCAAAGTTGGCACTCTAAGAAGGCTAATAACTGACTTAGATTAAAAATAACTATTGCTACCCAGGAATATTTGTTGTGATATTAAGAAATGCTGTTTACCCACAAGTAAAAAGATGTATCGAATATCTTCAAGGTCAATATGTAGAATTCATCCATAAGATTCACCTATTTAATCACCCATTCATTCATTCATTCATTCATTCATTCACCAAATGTGTTTCTTATTGCTAAGCACACAGCTGGGTAATAGAGAAACAGCGCCTTCCAGGGCCTGAGCTCAGTGCAGCCAGGTGGAGGGGAGGAGAGTAATCGATGGATTAACAGGGAGATGTGTACAGCAATTTCAAACTGGGACAAGTTCTAGGAAGGGAATGTGCAGGGGACATCATGCCACGGCTCTGCAAAGTGATTTCTGCCTCATACACCATTGAGGGATGATTCATTGATAATTCAATACAGGCATTTAAGCTTTATCCTAAAGTCAACAGAATTTTTATTGTTTTTTAGGTCAGATTTATTGGGGAAGAGTTTACATACAATAAAATTCAGGCTTTTAGTACATAGTTTTATGAGTTTTGACAAACATACAAAGTCATATAACTGGCCGGATGCCTCCCAGCACTTTGAGAGGCCAGTGGGTGGATCACCTGAGGTCAGGAGTTTGAGACCAGCCTGGAAATCATGGTGAAACCCCATCTCTACTAAAAATACAAAAATTAGCTGGGCATGGTGACTGTAATCCAGCTACTTGGGAGGCTGAAGCAGGAGAATTGCTTGAACCCAGGAGGTGAAGGTTGCACTCCAGCCTGGGCAACAGAACAAGACTCTGTCTCAAAAACAATAAAGTCATATAACCAACACCACAGTCAAAACAGAAAATAGCTTCTTCATCCCCAAAATATTCCCTTCTGCCCCATCATAGTCGATCTCTCCCCTCCAACTACCAACATCTGGCAACCACTCAACTGTTTTCTGCTCTTATTGGCTTTTCTGGAATGTCATATAAATAGAATTATATTGTATGTGGCCTTTTTAATTTGGCTTCTTTCACCTACAATAATGCATTTAAGATTCATCTGTGTTGTCGCATGTATTAGTAATTTGCTCTCTTTTATTGCTGATTAGTATTCCCATTGTATAGGTGTGCCACAGTTGGTTTATCCATTTCTTAGTTGAAGGACATGTTGGTTTTTTCTAAGGGGTGATTATTAATAGAGCGACCAGAAACGTTTGCATACAGGTTTTCATGTGGACATCTGTTTTCATTTCTCTTAAGTAAAGGCTTAGGAGGCTGGGCGCAGTGGCTCACACCGGTAATCCCAGCACTTTGGGAGGCTGATCACGAGGTCAGGAGATCAAGACCATCCAGGCTAATACAGTGAAACTCTGTCTCTACCAAATATAGAAAAATTAGCCAGGCATGGTGGCGGGCGCCTGTAGTCCCAGCTACTTGGAAGGCTGAGGCAGGAGAATGGCGTGAACCCAGGAGGCGGAGCTTGCTGTGAGCCAAGATCATGCCACTGCACTCCAGCCTGGGCAACAGAGT